GCATACTTTTGGTGATAAAAATGAGCTACTTAAAGAAAGAAAGATGTGTTTTGGTTTTGGATAGAGAAGCTCAATATTGTAAAATGACAGTTTTAAAAATTTCTGTATGTGCTATGCAAAGATAACAACAAAGTGGCAAAAGTTACCAAAAATAATTCTTCACATACTTGTCAAAATAAGCACATTAAACATGCTTATATGGGGCTGGCCAAATAGCTCAGCGGATTAAAGTGCCTGCTTAGGCAGACACAGGGCTCGGAGGTTCACTCCCCCACCTGATGTGCCAGCCCTGCCCCCTGGGCATGCTGAGACCTATAGGGACTGGGCCTGGTGGCGCATGCCTGTAATCTCAGCTCTTGGGAAGCTGAAAACAGGAGAATCACTATGAGTCCGATCTGTGTAGTGAGACCCTGTAGCCCCTGCACTAAATACAAAAGGAAAAAACATGCTCATATGTATAGACATAAACATAAACATGTGCTCTCCATATTGTTTAAAACTTATAAATTGAAAATTTTAATTATTTTAAGTTAAAATACTTGGATTTCATGTGGTGTTAGACATATTTATTAAAACTTCTTTATATAGTTTTACGCATAAAGAGCTGTGTATATCTTCTACATATGAATGTATATTATGTATACGTGAAGTGTACATGTAAGAAATGTAGGGCATGTTTGCACAGATGTGTAATGCCAGCATTTGGGAGGCTGAGGCAAGAGGACTGCAGCAGATCCGAGCCCAGCCTGGGCTACACAGAGTTTTGGTTCAAGCTGAACAAACAGAAAAGAAATCATTCATCTATTCCCATAACTCGGCTTTCTTTTATTGGTCCTTAGGTGTGCTTATGCTAATCTTTTGGTGCTTATATGCATTCGGGTCACTCTGTATTTTCCTTTCTGGTTTCTTCTGCTGTTATGATACGGAAGTCTTTGCCAGTGTTTACTTTTAGAAACATTTACACCCCCTTTATGCACCATGACTTTAGTATTTGCACCAGAGTATCAAGCCACCTTCCACTTACTCTGGAAAATGCTGCACGCTGACCGTCCGCCCTGCTCTGGCTGTCCCTTCCCCACTCCAGCACCATTACTGTACAGCATGTGCTTGCTTCGCTGACCTGAAGTGGCCCTCTGGGCTGCAGTGGGGGCCAGAACGCATCCTGGGTTCACTGCGTTGAACTGATCTTTGGCTCTTTGCTGTGCTCAGTACTGGCCAAGTCAACTCTAAAAAACTTGGAAAATCTCTACCTGATTTTTATGCTTGAAACCATAAGTTACTATTTTAAAAATATTGCAATAATCTAAAAGAATCTTAAGAATATTTTGTCATGTTTATCCTCTATGAAAAAAATAACAAATCAAGCAATTTTACTTGAAACAAAAATTCTCATACATTTCTAGTTAAATTTATGACTGTGTTGTTTTTGCTTAGTTGCATTAGGGAAAATATCATTGCTCTTTTATTGTCTTAATGATTACTACAGTTGTTTAGGAAAAACATTACATTTTATGTGTCTGTTATGCTAGCTTGCTAAATTCTGTTATTATGGTCGCTCTCATTTCATACTTTTATTTCTATGGAGACAGTATTATCAATTGAAAATAGCATGATTACAGCAATTCTGGGCATGACCCTCTTCTTCTGATTTTAGTAGCTCTGCTGTTTACCTTAAGCATGATGTCAGCAGCTGCTTGCTAGGGACATAATCAAATTTACCTGTGTCCGAGCTACACAGGAGCTGTGAGGCTGACTTTCTGAGCTACTTTTTCATTGCTCCTTCTTACGATCTTCAACAGAGACAGATCTGAGTTTCTTTCTTTATACGTGAAACATGTTTTAACATATTTCCCTATCTTACTAAGAAGACTAAAATTTTTTATGCTTTAATCCTCTAAGTTATGCTGAGAATTTTCCAATAAACTGTCAAACTTCAAGTCACTCATCTATCTTTTTGTCTCATTTCACATGTGCTTGCGTCTGCTGCATGGAGATTTTATTTTAGATTCATATTAATCTTCTGCTGCTGCCTGTAATTTGATCTTAAGCAGAGTATTAAAGGAGACAGAGCACATTTTAAAAGTTGTAAAATATATACGGAACAGCATAACCAGTGCTGAGGAGGCGTTGTCATGCAATGAGTTCATAGCCGATCTTGTCTTGGGAGTCCTCAAAATCAGATTCCTCTGCAGCACGGTGACTTTTGCATCATGAACATTAATGATGTCAGTCAGACATGATAGTAGTCATGGCTCTAAGATTACTTTGATGAAAATGTTCAGATTTGGCTCAGCGAATTTTAGCCTAAAGTAGTCTGTGGATGAAGAGTTGCAAAAACCCGCTAGTGTTCCCAGTTCTGCCTTCTTCATCCTCACTGCCATTTCTTTGTTTCTTTCACTCGACCTCAATCCTCCTTTCAAGTTCTTTCTTCCTAAGGAAGCTTTTAATGTTAGCCCATACTGAAAGAACTTTAAATGAATACACTGAAAATGAAGAAGATGGACTTTTTATATTACTAATGACTTTAAATTAATAAAGATATGGTAGATATGTTTTTAAATAATGATTTTTAAGAATTAAGTCACATAAAATAAGACCTAAAAGCTATACTTGAAGCAACCAATGACTTGTGATCCTTTTTAGATTTCTTAGGTCTATTTGGAGATCTTGTTTTTAATAATTCTGTCAGTACAGGCATTGAAACCCAGAAAATCTTTTTAAAATAACTGCTTGGTCATGATAAGTTGAAATAGAACAAAAACAGGGATTGGCTAAAAGAAAAGAGAAACTTGAACTCAGTCATGTAACATTTTAGGTGGAATATTTTTGCATCATTATAAAATTTAAAATTTATGTTAAAATATACATTTTCACACTCATGAGTGAAAATAGAAGGATTGGGAAGCATGTGAGATGGAGAAAGTAGAGAACTGCCTTAGGTCTGAGCAGGAATCCTTGCCAGAGCACTCGGACCTTGCTCGGAAGAGCTGTGCGCGCTGCGGGCATCGCTTGTCCCCGCATCTCCTGGCTTCCTCCCGCCCTTGGTCCTCGGCATCCTCCCCTGACCCCTCGAATTGGCAGGCTTCCTGCATGGACGACCAGAGCTCTACACTGTTCTCGTCTTTCCTGTCTCTTACCATGAAGGTTTGGCCGTCTACACTTGAGCTTGGGGTTTGGATTTTGATTAGTTGAGAACAGATGGTGTCTGAGTCAGGGCACAGCACAGCGGAAAGGAGACGTTGCGCGGCGGGCTGTGGAGTAGGAAGGGTGTGGCGAGGGAGACCTCGCAGAGCTGGAAGAGCGCTGGCCTAATGACTTCCTGTTTCTGCTTCTCAGCTCTTTCCTCAGCCGCTGCCAGCCCGCAGGAAGACGCCTCTCCGCTCGCCTTGTGGCTGGTGCTGGGCCTCATCCGTGGCAGGATTTCAGGTGGGCCCTGGTGGCCAGCCTGGCACGGATCGCCCCGGGTGCCCGCTCCTTCCCAGACACTGGTTTAGGTAGCCCTGCGTGCAGGACTGCAGCGGGGAGGCTTTCCTGTGCGAAGCGGTGGCAGGGCGGCAACGTCTGGCGTTCGGCACAAATGCCGGGGGTCTCCTGAGTCCTCAAGCCGGTCAGACCCCTCGCTGCCGGGTGGAGACTGGTGAGCGCGGCGGACGTTTTGCACCGAGGACTGAAGGCCTGGGAGCCGCTCCAGCAGGGGGAGCGCTGTCGTCTCACTGGAGACGGCTTCTCTCCTGACGCGATTACTTTCCTCCCGGGGTGGGGACACCTGGGGCTTCTTATACTGTGCGAGGGCACCGAGCGCGCCCCCTCCAGGGCGCCTGATCTGCTCTGTAATCTACCTACACGGGTGGCTCCGTTGGGGCTCCAGTGCCGGGCGCCGGCGGCCCCAGACCCAAGCGCACGTGCGCTCCAGTGGGGTCTTGGGAGGAGGGAGACCCTGTCCCTGACCCGGCTCTGAGAGAATAAAAGGGATCAGCGGAAGGAGGTCAGGGCCTCCCGAGGCAAAGAGCTTAATCTGAAAAGCCCGAGCCGCAGATTAGCGGACCCAGGCACTCGGTCCCCACCGCCTGCTCTCCAGCGCGCTCCGTGCGCGCGCACACTAGCACACGCGCACATACACGCGCATAGCCACACACGCGCACACACGTGCAACTCACACTTACATGCCTGCGCGCACACTCACATACACGTGCACATACACGCACAGCGCTTTCTGCTCTCCACGGAACGGGTTTCCTACTGTCACCGTCTCTCTCACTTGTCCCCTGCTCTCAGGTGAACTGTTTCAGGCCGAGTCAGGCCGCCTCTCCCCACCTGTTCCAGCACTCAAGGAGGGCGGAAGGCTCGGAGGTCAGGGCGCTCCTCCAGTCTCCCCACACCTCCCCATCGCTGCCCAGCTCTCACCCTCTCCCGTCTCTCGGTCTCTCCCCATCTCCTCCTCTCTCCCCGTCTCCATCTTCCCATCTCCCCCCCACTTCGCCCCATCTCCCCGTCTCCACCCCCACCCCACCCGCGTCTCCCCACCTCCCTATCTCCATCTTCCCATCCTCCTCCTCTCCCCACCCCCGTCCTCCCGTCTCTCCCGATCGCTCCCCACCTCCCTCCCCTCCCCCGTCTCCCCATCTCTCCCGGTCTCCCCATCTCTCGCAATCTCCCCAGCTCCGCGTCTCTCCCCGCCCCTCGCCCTCCTCTCCCGCCGGCAGGGGGCAGCGCGGCGGCGCCGCGCGTCTCCTCCTCCTCCTCCCTCCCGGCTCCCGGCGCCGCGTCCGAGGCAGCGCGGGCGGAGCGAGGCGCAGCGAGCGGCGG